TTTGAATATCACTTCTGCCCAAACACTTTGTCACTAGTCGTACTTCACAGAGGCGACGGGCTTCAATTTGAGAAAAGAAAACTCCCGTAATATTTGCTACCATTTCGATTACGTTTCGACGGATGCCCAGTGGCGACTCTTGTGAAGGCAATCGACAAAACAGTCTGTTACCTCACTGACGACGCAGCAGTGCTGCCAAATGGGTGTCTCATTTAATAAAAGCTGCGACCCGCACAGTTGCCAAATTGGCGAAAGAATTTTGGTGCGCGTTGACGAAACCGCGTAGAAATGGATTAATATTGACTTTTAAATTCCAAGACGTTAAGTTTGAAATGCAGTGAAATTTAAGCGCTGTGTGCGGATGCCCACATTCACAATACTATAAATTAATCAGCCGCGTTAACTGGTTACGGTAGTAATCCGACGTTTCGGGAACAAATTCAATAAAATCTTCTCGGGTAATCAGCCGCGTTAACTGGTTACCGTAGTAAGGCGACGTTTCGGGAACAAACTCTGTCCCCATCTCCAGGGTTCTGATTTGACTGGATCTTCGGAAGTCGCTTGTGTAACTTTCTGCTCGGGACCAGTGCGCGCAGTTACACAGGCGACTTCCGAAGATCTAGTCACATCAGAACCCTGAAGATGGGGACACAGCTTGTTCCCGAAACGTCGGTTTACTACGGTAACCAGGTAATACAGATGGGGATTTCCCCTTCATCGAGCCTAAGACCTTCGAGTGGCATTTCTCAGCCCTCTCCAGTACTTTTATATATTCTATTTACCAGGTACAAAAACACTACAATTAATTAACACGCGTTAGTCTGATCACTGAAAGAGCGCCATTAAGCACTCATGGACAGTCACATCGAAACTCAAAACTGAATCAAAAAAGTTGCTTGAAGCATGTGACGTAATCAACATCGAACAAAAACTGAAACATGGCCGGGAGAAGAATCATTCATTACTTTTTAGTTTAATGCACTCTCCATTTTAAACGGCGTCCAGAAACGTGCATGAAGCCAACCACGAACGCGTAATAAAAGGGCCCAGCCCCGCTCTGTTCTTGTACACACAGGAAATTCTGCCCGCCTCTGCAAGCCTTTGCTTTGGTGTGTTCACCCAAGAAGATGTGGTCCATGGCTGGGGACGGACTCTTATTCTCCACTCTACGTATTTAACGACGTCTTCTTTGTTTATTCTTGTCAGTCTTGTACTTTTACGTTACATTTCTACTTCCAGG